TTCGTCGTACGTACATACGTTTTATGTACTATGCAAGCATAGGAGTAAAACGACTCTTAACCACTCTACTAAATATTCAGCTGAAATGGGGCGTTACTACTATGACGTCAATTTGGGCAGTTATGTAAATGTAAAATTCGAATGTTCTGCTAAATATTTAGTTTTCCGAGTTTGATTTGAGGGCAATGCAAGGTTTCCACTAAAAGTTTTTTATTTCAATGCATTCAGTTAAATTTTAGTTTCGGTTTAGTTTTATCCACAGAAGTGAATTCTTTTAAGTGTTCTACTCTGTAAAGCTGAAGCCAAAGAAAAATCCATATGCATATGTATGTTATTGTTTTACATTTTTAATACTAAATTCTAAGCGGAATCTTGTAATAGAAAATGGAAAAATGGAACTACAGCTTGGATTTCTTGAGGCGCATTTAGTCAGAAGTTATTTTATTGGAGCTATAGAACTAAATGACTTTAAGAAGAAACTTTATTCATATTTAATAAAAAATAAATAAAATAAAAAATTAAAATACAAAAAAAAAATAAAATAAAAAAAATAAATAAATAAAAACAAATAAATAATTTAGCTATAATAATATACCGATTTATAAATTATTATTAATATACAGAAAAAATGCAATTTTAGTTATACACTTTTCTTAAGTAACTAAAATAATTTAAGAAAAATATTTTAAGATTATATAATTTCTGAAAATTCTGTACATTATTTTTTTTACAGTATTCCTAAAAATTTAAGAAAAATATTTAATTAACATTAGGTAATTTCTGAGTTTTCTTTGTCAATTTTCCCCTGCATCAAGTAGAGCATTCAAGCTGCGCCGTTTTCTATCTCTTTTGCGTCTAAGTTTTGTTGTTGTAGCTCAAGACTTAAAGCCGGCCGGCTTGTCCAGTTGTTTGGTATTATGTATTTTTTTTTTCTTTTTCTTTACATTGTTTGTTTGCAGAAGCAAAGGCTGAGCCTCTCCCTGTCTGCCTCTCACTCTAACTCTCTCCTCTCCCTCTCTCTCTCTCTCTCTCTCTCTCTCTCTCGCTGTCTTGATTACTCTTTGTATTTTTGTTTCATTCGCTCAGTGGCTCGCTCGGTTTAACGTTGATTTTTTTTTTAGGCTTGTTTGCTCGGCCTTAAGCAGGTGTGACTTATGCATGTGTGTGCGCGTGTGTGCGTAGACTTGTTTGTTGCTGTTGTAATTTGTGTTATTCGTATTGTTGTTGTTTTTGTTGTTACTTAATCGTCTGTGCACAGGTTATCGCTTGCTCTTGAACTTGCGCTCACAGCGCCAGAGCAAATAAACAAACAAACAAACAAACAGAAAATCAAAAATAAAAATAAAAAATAGGAAATCGGTACGTTAAACTCGATCTGGACAAATGTGACTTACATTTTCAATATACTTAACTATATATATATATACATACGTATATATTTCTTTTTGTAGGCATAAACTAATTGGCTGACTGCTCGCCGTAGCTGCGCCGTTTTGTCGCGTTTGCAGCAATTATGAAAACGCAGCCATTGGCGACATGATAAACGGTTTCCGCAATATTTCCGCCCGCGCGCGATGCACGGGGCTTGGCAAGGGCAATGGACCCAACAGCTGCCGCAGCTCTGGGGTTGCATCGACTTGTCCTGCTGGACGTGGTGTGAGCGTGAGACAGAGACAGAGTGTGTATGTAAGTGAGAGAGAGAGGGAGACTGAGAACGTTTTGCCCTTTGTTTGCCCATACTCCCAGTCGCACGCTTGCGGCATCGTTTTACTCTGGCCCACTTCACACGGGCCTTCATAATTTTAACACAGCGCACAAATTGTCCTTGCGCCGCAGCCGCTTGTTTACAGTTTGTTCCAGGCCAGCCGAAAAGGGACGTGTCTGGGCCGGGAGGAGTGCGCACAGTTAAGCAAAGTAAAAGACAGAATCGAGCTGAAGGCAAGCGTGTGCAGGAGCGCAATGAGCCACACAATTGGACCAGAAAGAAACCCAAAGGGTTTTAAAGCCTAAACGGGCTGAGCGTATAAAAAAGTCAAGTTTAAGCCAACAAAATTTTTGATATTTTTTGTGTTATTCATTGGAAATAAACAGCATTAAAAAGGGTTAAGATACTTCAAGAAGTTAAACTTTTTAAAAAGGGTTAGGAAATTTCTAGATAATTAAGATAAAGCTCATAATGCTCAAAGCCTCAATTCTGTTGAATTTTGTAAGTCTTGGCCTTGGCAATAGAAAATGTTCAGCTTAAGTTTTTTTTATGGCTTGACAATTTTAATTTCTATATTTTATTCAATTAAGAAATTATTATAAATTTTTGCTTGGCTTTTTTACAAAGTTCCAAGAAGTAAAACAATTTTAGAAATTTCTGGTGAATTCTCAAAAAGTATATAATGCGTAAAGCTTCAATTCTTTTGAATTAAAAAAATATATATATATATATATATAAATTATACATCTTTGATTTTGTATTTTATAATATTAATATTTTTTTAGATTAAATTTTTTTAGAATTTTATTCAACATTTTTATTTTATCTATGGTACTTTTATTTTATTTTATTATTACTTTCATTTATTATTATTTTATTTTATTTCTAGTTAATTAAGTTTAAAATATTATTTATTATTTATTTTTAATGTATTTTTAATTTAATTAGCAACAAATATAACAATAAAATACTTTATATTTATGTATTTATATTTATTATTAGCTGCAGTAATAATTCTTAAGTACAAAAACCCCAATTTTAAAATACGGCACACCCAACCTGATTGTTTTCTTGTTCTTCCTGACTTAATCTTCATATCGTTAATTGAATGTCTAGCTAAAAATGCTTGAGTTGGACTCGTTGACGTCGTTTGTCGCCGTTGCCTAAAGAACATTTTGATTGATTCGTCTCCGCTTTAAGTGCACAGACAAGACACATATATAAATACATATATACATATCTAAATAAATATGTATGTGTGCATGTCAGCTGTATTAACGCCACCAAATGAGGAAATGCTTACTTTAATTTAAAATATACATACATACATATTTACATGTATATTCATATATGTTTCTCTCATCTAATTTAACGAATGATCTTGACTTTTAGTTGATTTATTCCCTGCTCCCAAGCAGCGCTGCCTTTGTCTCTTCCTCTTCTTCTCTGCTTATGCCTTTGACGTTCTAGAACATGGGAATGCATAATGCGGCCACAATTCGCCAGAGGTCGCCACATTCAAGAAATTGCGCTCCACATATTTATGCATATGGACACACATACACGCTCACACAAACACACATAGATATTGTTGCCTATGGATGTATTTCTTATTTGCACATTGATTAAAATTTATTTGTTGTCGATTCGTTGGCATACGAGCAGCGCATAGAATTGTTTATGGCCGAATGCAGCCGTTGACAGTCGCTGCGGGAATTGAAGCTAGAGCGGGAGCGACCAGAGGACGGGCCAACAATGGGTTAAATCGGTTGCAGCAGCTTGTATTGTTTTGTCTTTGCAAAAATTTCGCGTTCGCCACATTTCACTTGCTGCGGTAATAAAATTCCAAGCAAATCCAGCAAAATAACAAAACAAATTGTTTTCTATTTTTTGTTTGTGCTATTTTTAAAAAACGAGGAACAAGAATTTGCATAACAAAAGTGAAAAGGCGCGCGCGGAGGCAGCGCCAGGCGCAGCGCTCTGTTTGTTATTTTTGGCATAAACGAAGAGCGAAAGAACGAGAAGGAGACCCAAACAACAGTCGAGCGTAAGCGAGAGCGCATTCAAATGTTTACTCGAGCGACGCCAGGCGACGGCGACGGCAACGGTGACGTCGACGTCACTGCTGTCGGGTTAATGCACCGCAGCTGAGATTAACAACAAATTAAGGCTTACCTTTCTCAGTCAAGGGACTCAGCGTTTTTGTTTTTGCTGCTGTGGAGCCGGACTCCTGTTGCTGTTCCTGCTGCTTCGATTTGCTGCCAGCAACGGCGGCGACGACGACGACGACGCAAAACAGCAACAACAACAACGACGACAAATTCGCTGTCGCCGGCATTTTGCCGCTACTGCGCTGCCTGCTGCTGCGGCGACTGCTGTTACTGTTGTTGTTGCTGGTGTTTTTGCTGCTGTTGTTTTACTCGTAAAATAAAGACAAAAACAAAGCGCGCACTCACTCACACACACACGCAACGCACTCGCGTAAAGCAGCTATTGCTTAAAATGTTCTTTGTTTTGTTTATATATTCAGCATTTTTGTGCCGCAAATTGTGGCAGAGATATTTTTTGTTTACTTTTTACTCGTTTTGTCTTTGTTTTTTATTATTACTATTTTGCCGCGCGAATAACAAATATGCGCATACATACGCACATGCACGCAAACACACGCATACACAAATAATACACTTAACGCCAATACACGCTAACTACGAATTAGGCACAAGGCTCAAGCAAATTGTAAACACTGCGTTGCCTGTACATACATAAAGATATTTATTTTTCACATAATTTTCATTTATTTTGCCATATGTATGTATATTTATGTATATTTGCGTCGGCGTTCAGAACGAAAAACCGCGCGACACTCCGAACCACACGCACAGAAAACCGTAAGAAGACTGAAGGAAAAACACAGCATTCATTTAGTAAGCTATTCAAAAGGTAACTCTCTGAGTGAGCACTTACTGAGAGTAATCGCTGCAAGAATCCGTGACGTCATAGCTTTACGAATTCAATTAGCAGCAAATCGCGCACGAATAAAGAAAATTATGTGTTGCCAATGAAATTAATTATTTTTAATAGTTATATTAACTAATATTGCTTAGGATATAACACCTTTTACAATTATTTAAATAAATTCTTAAATATTCACAAAGTTGTATATCGATATGTGATATCACCAGCTGTTCCACATTTTTGTCATAACTAACAGCCACCTATTGCATGCAAAGAGTTAATGTAGCCCTGGTATTTGAGACTGTGTGTTCAGCCCTGTTATATTGTAAAATCCTGAGCAAGCGGCGCCAAAATCAAGTTTATACCTGCAGCATAAACAATTTAATAGCATTCGGTTTTGAAATTCGTTGTCACAAACAACAAACATCCAAATTGTTCGTGATTTAATTTTTCGAAAAATAGTTTTAAAAATTTGTTTGTTGGATAATGTTGAGTCAGTGGTTTGTGAGTACATTAAAAAAAACTAAAACTGCACTTCGATTGCATAATTGGTATTTGCATTTGTATTTTTTTGTTGACATTTATTTTTGGCAACAGCGCGGTCGTCATCTTGTGGTCCGCTCTGCGCTGTTCAGCCGGCGACGTGTCTCCTCTGAATCAACCAGTACGAAAGATGACGTCATTGTGGACTTCGAAGATCCCGATTTGCCGTTGCCCGAGTATCCCAAGCGACCCGATGAGCCGTTAGAGACGCGCAAGCAACGGTAAGTGTTATATTAAGTTAACTGACCGATGCTAAACGACTGAATTTTATAACAGTTTGATGTATCAATCACGCAAACGTGGAATGCTTGAGAACGATCTGCTCCTGAGCACATTTGCGCACAAATATCTAAAGGATTTCAATGCCGAGCAGACAGCGCTCTACGACGATCTCATCAATGGGGTCAGCAACGATTGGGACATCTATTATTGGGCAACGGGCGTCAAGCAGACGCCCAAGGAATACGACACGGAGATCATGAAATTACTGAAGTTACACGTTGATAATGCAGAGAGGGTCACACGCTTCCGGCAGCCAGAGCTGACCTACTATCTGAAATGTTAGGGGTTTCTTATTTTTCGTTTTTCGTGATTTTTTTTTGTCTTTTGTTTTTGTTATTGTTTTTTGTTCTTGTTATTTCCTTGTTTGTTTGTTTTTTTTTTTTTTTTCAAGCGGAAAACGTACACAAGGCGACAATACTTGCGGCCGCCTTGGATATCGTTTTCCCAGTGGCTAATTCTTACTTTTCGGCTTCGCCCATTAGGTTTAAGTAGTTTTTGGTTGTGTTTTACACTGGACGAATTGAACAAGAACTAAGCTTGCTGCAGAATATGTGGATAAAGGTATACATATATATATATATATATATATATATACACATACATATGTATATATATATTACATATAAACCGGCAAATACATTACACATACACGTCGACTACACGCATACACATACAGTTAGGCCCATCCAAATTCGCTCACATACCTACACTAACTTACACATATATTATACACCATGAGGTGCACACGGATACACACACATTCATATTGCAGGGCTGGTTGAGCTTACCAAGTTAGGATCTGTTTTCATAGAATTAAATGTTTATTGTTGTTGAAGATGCAAATGAAAAATACAAAAAAATATATAAAAGTAAAATCAAAAAAAATGAGTTCAATAAAAATGAAACAAAAATAAATTTGAACATGATTTATCATTGAATGTAACAAAAATTAAAGCTAAGAAAATTAAACACAAATTTAAATTGAAGTAGCAATAGAATAAAAATATAAACAAACGGAAAAAAATTATGAAAAATGTAAATGATACCAAAACAATCATTGAACCGTTATACCTGATTTTCCATTATAAATAAAGCAATAAATTTAAATTTAAAATTAAAATATATTTGTAACATAATTATGATTTATAAACTTCCAATTAAGAAGAATCCAAAAACTTAACAACGTTCAAAGACCTTGTACAAGGTGGGCAGGCTGGTCAGCTCGTAGAGATGCTTCTTGAGACGTGCGGGCGGCAGCAGATACTTCTTGAAGCCCGGGAATAGAACATGCTCCATATACCAGTGCTGGCTGCGCATGTCGCCATCGTCCTGCCAGTCCAGCTGGGCATAATAGCGCGCGGTCTCTCGGCAAAACGTCTCGAAGCACTGCGTCTCCTCTGACCATTCCACCTCGGTGGCCAGGCGCAGCAGATAGACGGGCAACTGGGCGCGGCTGGGCACATGTTGGGGCAGCAGTGCTGGCAAGGACTCCAAGCAGCCCTGCTCCGAGATGCGCAGCGAGAAATATTCGCGCATGAGCGGTGCCATTTCTTGGAGGATGGCCACAGCATTGTCCGCCAGCTCCGTTTTGTCCCCATCCTCGGGCACCCAGCCGGCGGCGCGGCTGTCCAGCGCAATGAGCAACAGCTGCTGCAGCGACAATGGCGGCACCACACGCACCTCTGGACAGTTCTGGAACTCGTAGATCAAGCGCTGGTAATACAGTTCCTCGCTCAGGGCAAACGTGTCGCACATGTAGAGGCGCGTCTCGTGCTGGAAGAGTGCGTGCCGCTCGTCCACACAGCCCACGTAGACCAGCTGCTTGAAGATACTACGCAATGACACCTGGCACTGGCGCTCCACGCTCTGCTGCATGTTCAGAACGCTGGTGAGGCGCACCTCCTTGGATTTGCGCGCGGCCGTCACCCGGAAGCTCTCCTCCTGGGACAGCGTCTCATTGCCAGAGCTGGAGGATAGTCCAGAATCAGTTTTTTCCAGCGCTTTGAAGAACTTCTCCAACTTCTGTTCGGTGGCATCGGTGCGCACCATATCCTTTTCGTAGATGCGCTGCGTCTTGTCCAGCGTTTGGTTTGCCTCCAGATCCACGGTGCCCGGCAGCTTGAGCTGCTTGTAAAAGCTCCGCGTGGCATTGCTGCCCAGCAGCTTTGCCTCTACTTGCTGCTTGATGCGCTCAATGATCTCGTCCTGGTACAGAAAATGCACCTCGTGCTTGGTAGGATGCACATTGACGTCCAGATTTTGGGGCGGCAGCATGAGGCTCATGTAGACAAATGGATGCTGACCGCGTGGCAAATACGTTGCATAAACAGTATCCAAAGCAGTTTTAAGTGCTATAAGCTCGAGAGGATTAGTAAAGAAAAGAAGATCTTATGGCTACCCAATTACCTGAGGACTCAACCAGTCGATGATTGATGAACAGGAGTAGCGTTGACTTCTTGGCTGAATAATTCACCTGGGTGAGCTGACACTCCAGCTCGAACTTGAACATCTCATCCTTGTGACTGAACTCCATCAGCTCCTTGGCAACGGCAGCGCCATAGATAGCCCGTATATTCTCTGTCCGCGAGCTGCACGCTTGCGTCTTCAAGCTTGGTTGTTCGCCTTGCTTGCGCAACACGAAACCCACCTGTGGATTGTGGACGGCATACTTGGCTAGCACATCGGAGATCTTTTGGAATTCCTCTGCAGGGGATTTGAGCGCCTGCCGACGCTGTGGCATTGTATAGAATAAGTCCTCAATGGTAATAATAGTGCCTTGATTGCCGGCACAGGGTTTTGGCGGGGCAAGTAGCTTGCCATCCGCATAGGTGGCCTTGTAGCCGCAACGCTCGCTTGCTGTCTTGGTTTGAATGGTCAGGTGGGCGACATGACTGATGCTGGCCAGTGCTTCGCCCCGGAAACCGAACGTGGCTATTTCAGTTAGATCTTCAAACTTGCTCAGCTTCGAAGTGGTAAAACGTTCGCAGACGATGGACAGGTCCTCTTTGCGTATGCCAGTGCCATTGTCCTGGATTTGCAGCAGCTTCAGGCCACCGGACTTTACGTTTACTTGAATATGGCTTGATTTGGCATCTAGGCTGTTTTCCAACAACTCCTTCAGTGCATTGGCTGGACGTTGGATAATTTCCCCAGCGGCTATGCGATTGATAACCACCTCGTCTAGTTTTTTTATGATTCCAGGCTCCAGCATGGCGCCAAATGTACGTGCATTGTAAACAAACTAGCGATGTGCAGCTGAAATATCAATTTATCGATTCTAGTATATATACATACATATTTGGTATTTTTTAGATAATTGGCAAAAATAGTTGGCTTTTTAAGTTTTTCGTTTTTACTTTTAATTAACAAATTCGTTAACACTTTTCATTAAACATAAACTTCAAATAACAGTTCATAAAGCATTTGTAACTACAACTATTTTGATTCGAGAATTATCGAAATTATTAACATATGATTATTTGTACTGCATTGTACTATTTAAACATTAACGGAAATTCCTGTTTACTAATACTATATTGTCGTTCGTTGGCTAAAGCTTAAAAAACCTTTTGCATTTGAAGCAAATAAATACAGAAATGCCCAAAACAATTGTTGTGTACTTGAAAACACTTCGCACCTTGCGTCGCTTGCGCTCGGCAAGAATTTCGTTGTAGTCAATGTACAATAGATTTTGCGGTGGGCTGAACGAGCCAAGCTGTAAAATAAAGTTATTAGATAAAATCATTATTTCTTCTATCAACTAGCAACTAACTCACATATTTAACTGTCTTAGTCAGTTCGTTTATAATTCCGCGATATGCATTTAAATTGCTCTGCAAGCTGGCCATCTGCATCTCTGAAGGCTGACCAAGTTTTCCATTTAACTGATTTTGCATGACGTACCTTAAAGAGGCTTGTATAATCACCAAATGCTGCAAATGATTGGCGGTGATCATGAGGATTTCATAGAAGCTGCAATAATATATTATAATATAATAATCAATCACTTTATAACTTTGGCAATCTTCTTTATTTACTTATCCATGCCGTCCTTCTTAACTCGCGCTATTGATTTTCTCGACCAGTGATGTAAATGAAAGCTAAAAATGAAATAAGAGAAATGTAAAAATAAGAGAAATACAGCTACCAGCAGATCACTTAACACTCACTCTAGTATGCCCTTTAAGATCTTGTTCCGATAGATGGGAAATTTAATGCCAATATCGCGCAATCTCATATCGTCCATATTGAGGAATTCGGCGAGTGAAATGCGTGCTTTAGCAAAATGCTCCAGCATGTTTGACATTTCCAGAGTCCTCAATATGCTGGCCAGCTCCTGAAAATACTCCGGACAGTCGGTTTTCAGAAAAATTCGCGGCACATGATCGCGCAGCGTGTTGTAGCAGATATAATTGCTTGGCACTATGTACTCGGCGGCCGGATCAGCCGGCAGCAGCTCCAGTAGATCATAGAAGCCATGGAATTCGGCTACCTGTTTTGGTGTATAGCCCTTGTTGTTAGCCAGATTGGCATTGACACCGGCATCTACCAGAATCTTCACTATATCTCTGTGGTTATTCTCAATGGCATGAAAAATGGGCGTACAGCCTTGATTGTCTATGGCATCGAAGCTGACCTCGCCTATGAGCAGGCGCACAACATTGGTGTAGCCCCGGCGACAAGCGAGCATGAATGGAGTGATGCCATACTTATCAGACACATTGATGACGGCGCCTTTGCTGAGCAGCAGACGCACCAACCGCTCGGCCACATGCGCATCATTTGCATGACAGTCACAGGCAAACATGAGCGGCGTCATGGAGTCCACTAACTTATTAACACTCGCTCCGAGCTCGTTAACTAGGTACGCGGCCACCTCATAGTGACCCTCACGACAGGCATTCATCAGCATTGTGAGTCCTCCACTCAAGATGCCATCCACAGGAAACTTGAGCGCATCGATGTGTTCGCGCACAAGTTGTAAGTTTCCCTCCATTAGTGCTTCATACAGCAGTTGTTGTGGCTGCACGCATGGAGCACGTTTCTCTCGTTTCAGCTAAACAGAAGTTTGTTTACGTTAGACTAAATGTGCCGAAGCCAACAGGAGAAGCATTTGCTTACAGGTTCGGAAAAGTAGAAGCCATCATAGCTGCTGCAATCGGAGTCATCCGAGTCTACCGGAGGGCCATAAGAAAGTTTTTCGGTCATTTTGTTTCTTTAATCAAACGCGTCCAATGCAACTTTCTCAGAGCATTCCAAATAAAACTATTAAAAAATTGCGTTGCGAAAAGCAAAGAACTAAACAAAATGGCAAAGCTTGAAACGTAATGTGGCCAATGGTAAAAATGAGAATTTCGCGTTTTTCCAAGACCAAAGCTGGTCACACTGTGAAGCCACCAGTGGAGCTTAGCTTATTTAAATTAAATATCGATATCAATATCAACGTCGTTGTTGTCCATTACAATTCAACGCTTAATTTTCAACTGTTCTCAACTCTTTTATTTCTTCTCTCGGTTTAGTTTTTTGACCATTTGAATTAAGTGCATAATTTCAAAATATTCATTATTTTATTAATAGTAGCATATTTTACACATATGATTATTTCTTGTTGCCCTTTTTGGCAAATCGCGGCCCACCAAAATTCTTGCCCTTGTTGAATTTATTTTTACCCGCCTTATTTGTTAGTTTAACGTTGCTCGTTTTCTTCTTGGCAGCAATTTTCGTCATCTTCTTGTGTCGGTTGGCCTCGGATCTGTTTTAAAATGGAGAAAATTGTAGTTAAGTATTAAAAGCTTCTATGGTTATCAGATGGCACTAACCTTAAACGAAGTGCGCCGCCCCGGC